TGTGTAACTTAGGACACCAACACGGGTGTTCGCGGGTCAGTGTATAGCTTTGAGCCTGAGAGTTGGTGTGCAGAGACCCCGTGGGTTTGTGTTTGCTTTCTTTGGTACAGTGAGACTGTTTCAATATTGGTGTGTAGGCTTGTGCGTGTGTGTTTGAGCAAGAGAGAGAGAGAGAAAGAGTATGTGTTTCCTGGTGCACAGCCCCGTAGCACATGTGTGTGAGCTCAGGTGGTGCCCCCACTGGGCAGCAGGAGCTGGGAGGGGTTGGGGGAGGGGCGCCCTCCTGGAGACTCTGGGGGCTTCCCAGGCCCAGCCCCCTGCCCCACCAGCCATAAAGGATGCCGCCTTCCAGGAAGGCTCACAGGGAGTTGGCGCTGGAGAGGCTGACGCTGCCAAGGCAGCTGGCAGATGCCCGATTAACCCTGCGTGTGCCCTGGCTAGCCACAGGAGAGGCTGTCTATGAGGGGTGAGGGGTGCTGTGGACACACACACACACGCATGTTGGGCCAGTTGGACACCCCAGCATCCTCTCCCCGAACAGCCCCCACCCCACACTGCTTGAGGGTGAGGGTGGAACCCCAGATCCTCCTGAGGGTCCCAGCTAAGCTCCTCTCTGGAGCTGGGACCTGGGGCTCTTCTCAGGGGTGCATGGGCCGATCCTGGCACTGCCAACCTCGTAGTGACATGGGGAAGCTGTGTCTTTCCCCAGGGGTCACACCCTCTGTCTGAGGCGCCAGCCTCCTCCTTTGGGGAAGGGGACTGAGTGGGGTATGCTGCCCTGCAGGGGCCCGGGTTCTGGGTTGACAGGCCCAGGGTGGTTGGTCAGAGTTAGGGGGACCAGGACGGATGGGTGCAGACTCCTTGGGGGCTCAGCAGGATCAGCTGGACCACCCTGAGGCCTGACCTGCTCTCTCCCCATCTCTGTTGCAGAACACAGATCTGTTTGAGATGATTGAAAAGATGCAGGTGAGGCTGGATCCATTGCCCGTTCCTGGGAGCCACAGATGGGCTGGGCTGGGGGTGGCGGGCCCTGGCTACCTCTCCTGCCCCGCACCTCTCTGAAGACAGGCCATGCAGGGAGGAGATGGTGGCAGTGTGCTGTCCAGAGCTCTCTGTCCAGAGTAGAGGATGGGGACTGGTAGGGCCCAACTCCCTATCTGACTTGGGGGTCCAGGTTCCACTTGTGTGCTTCCCTACCTTCCACCCCCCTCCTCTCACAGAGCTGGGTTCTCCACTTCAACCCCCCAAGAGGCATCACAGACTCTGAAGGCTCCCCCCGCCCCCCCATCCTGTAAAATGGGAGGAGGGGCAGATGCCAGGGCTCAGGGCAGCCAGAGCTGTGCTGCAGGGAGGGGGAGGTGTCCATGAGCTAGGCAGCCTCGCCCCCTCTGCCTGACCCCTGCCCACCCTCCACTGCCCAGCCCTGGGCTTCCAAGCCCTTGTCTGTTTTTTGCAAGGGTATGTGCTGGGAGGTGGTCAGGGGGCTGGGATGAGTGGGAAAAACCGCAGGAGCTTTCCCTAATGTCAGTTCACCCCCTAAACCCTCTCTCCTTCCCCTTCCTGTTTCTCTGCCTCTCTTATTTAGTCTTTCTGTGTCCATCTCTCCCCTCCTCCTCTCTTTTTCTTTCTCTCCTCCTCTTTCCCTCTCCCTCTCCAGGTCTCTCCCTCCCTCCCCCTCTCTCTCAACAACACGTATCTGTGTAGATGCAATAGCCTCCCTCCCTGCTCCCCACACTCACACAGGCACGCGCACGCCACCCCTGCCCCCACTCCCAGCGGCAGGCATTCCCGCACAGTGCCCCCGGCCCCTCCCTGCCGCCGCCTCCCACAGCCCAGGTTACTTCCCAGCAGGACCGCCAGGCCTGCAGAGAGGCCTGAGTGAAGCAGCACCCTGCCCGGGAGTACCCCACCTGGGCGGACTTTCCCTTCGACACAGGAAGGGCTGTGAGCCCAGGGGAGGTAGCCCTGCAGCGAGCCCGAGAGGGGTGTGAAGGGCGGGAGGGGTGTAACAGGAAGTGCTGCCCTCTCTTTGCAGGGAAGCAGGATGGATGAACAACGATGCTCCTTCCCACCACCCCTCAAGGTAGGTCTGAACCATGACCACCCTACCCATCCTTGGGCTTCCTCAGCAGCCTCTCCAAAGGGCTTGGGGACCTGGGCTGGGAGGAGCAGGCAGACTCCCTCCCTCGGGAGTGGGGATGGGTTGGGCCTGGGAAGTCCTATCACAGCTGCTCACCAAGCAGCCAGGCCAGGAGAACCCATCCCCTTTCATGAAGTAGTCCTCCTAGGGGCTGGGTGCTGGGGTACCCAGCTCCGTCCGGTCCAGCTCTCTAGGAGTTCTGAGATGTGTGGAGCACCCCTCCCTTGCTATAGGTCTGGGGCCTTCAGTCCAGCTCCTCCCCACCAGTCTTCAGCACTGCGAACTCACCTGCCTCTCCAGGCCTCCCCGCCCAGCGTCAAAGCCCCATCCTTCACAAGACACGGCCTACGTAAACGGTTTTCCTGGAAGCCGGTTATGATAAGCAGTTGTAGAAAGACTCAAACTCCTGCTCCGTGTAGCTCCTACCTGAAAGGCTGAGGGGGAGGGGGTATGGGGAGAGGTAGCCTGCTTGCCCCCCATCCTCCCATGAGGAGCCGGACAGGAAGCCGGGGACTGAAGGGGATGCAAGGAGGCTGTTGTTTGGTCTCACATTTTTCTTGGGGGGCGGGGGGACTGCATATAGCCTCTCCAGGTAGGCATGTGGTTCTCTGGTTGGTGATTTGGGACCCCAACCATCCATGAAGACTGGCAGCTGGGCCTGGGGGAGTGGGCTCAGGGCTGCAGGGGTGAGAATTAAAGGGGGTTCATGGGCATAAGCCTGATCTTTGTCCAGGGCAGGGGTTTTCAAAGCAAGCGTGGTCCTCAGACCAGCCCCATCAACACCACCTGGGAGCTGTGAGAATGTGAATTCTTGGGCCCCCCAGACCTAGGGCATCAGAAACTCTGGGGTGGCTCGTAGCCGCCTGTGTTTAATGAGCCCCCAGGCTGTTCTCATGCACCGAGAACCACTGGTCTGGTGGTTCCTTCCGGGGAGGTGGGGCGGGCAGCGAGCCTCCTCCTCCCCAGGCAGGATCAGGCCCAGAAGAGGCCGCCAGAACTCAGTGAACTAAGCCTGCTTCAGCCCCAGCCTCCTGGGGTCACTCCAAAGCAAGCCCTGCCCCACCTGCGAGATGGGGAGATGCTCCCAGCCTGGTACTGGCCAAACAAGGACATTCTGGGGAGGCTGGGCGTGGGGTCACCCCAAAGGAAGCCCTGCCCCAGCCTGGTACTGGCCAAACAAGGACATTCTGGGGAGGCTGCGGGGAAAGGGCACGGACCCATCCCCGCTGGGCCTCGGCCCTGCTTGTGTTTTGCAGACGGAGGAGGACTACATTCCCTACCCAAGTGTCCACGAGGTAACCCGCTGGAGCCCCCGAGCCCATCCTCGCCCCAAGCTGGAAGGCACTCACCCAGGGAGTCGGGGTGCCCCGTTCTCCGCCCTGTCAGGAGTCTAACCAGTTAGAGACTCGGTTTACAGGCCAAAGACTTCAGAGCGCATTTGAACCCAAGGCCTCTGAGCTACACATTTCAGCCTCTCTGCCAAGGTCCTGCTCCTGGCTCTCCGTCCCCACCCCCATCCTTTGAGAACGGGACGTGGGGGGAGGCTCCATGTGGTCTGGGACCCGTGTAGTGTCTGGGTTGTCCCTAGGTCTGAGCTGGGGAGTTGTCCTGGGGTCCCTGGTGGGGAGTAGTGTGGGTGGCTCTCAACCGAGTCCCCCTTCAGGTCCTGGGGCGAGAAGGGCCCTTCCCCCTCATCCTGCTGCCCCAGTTTGGGGGCTACTGGATTGAAGGCACCAACCACGAAATCACCAGCATCCCGGAGACAGAGCCGCTGCAGTCCCCCACGACCAAGGTGAAGCTGGAGTGCAACCCCACAGCCCGCATCTACCGGAAGCACTTTCTCGGCAAGGTGGGTGCTGTGAGAAGGCGGATTCTTGGCCCCCCTTCCAGCCGGTATCGGGGTCTCGGCCTGGGAGGAAGAGAACCCTCGGGCTGGGGCTGGGTGACAGTCCCAGAGCTGGAGTCTCAGGGAGCATGCATAGTGGGTGCGCTCATTCACTCAACAAACACTGATTGCGAAAAGCAGTCTGACGGCGTGGCAGTCCACAGCAGAGACGCCACCAGGGTCTGCGTCCTGGCTGTGCCACTTGCTGCACGGGACATCAGGCCAGTGACTCACCTCCCTGTGCCTGTTCCTCAGCTGCGGACACGGAGGTGATGGCGGTACCCACCGCAGAAGGTTGCTGCAAGGCTTTATGGCAGGGTGCTGGTAGAGTTTATAATGGTGCCCAGCGCAGTGTGCCTGGCCCTGTTCACGGCACCAGGTGTGGAGCAGCAGGCAAAACCACCCAGGCCCTGCCCTCAGGCGGCTTGAGGTGGCGGCTGGGAAGACACAGTAATGTCATGGTGTGACCTGGATTGATGCAACCCTCACCCCAACACCAGCCCCCGAGCAGGGACCCTGCCTGGTCCCAACTTGTCAGAGTGTCACCCAGCGGGGTTCCAGGCCAGAGTGACTGGGAAAGTTTGTGGGAGCTGGAGGGAGGTCCCACGCTGGGACCCTGTATGTGCCCGGTTCCACCCCAGGTGCTGTCTCTATGTCGGTTTTCTCTGAGGTGACAGGTTGTAGCGTGGCTCCGGGATCTCGAGGCCGGGGTGGGAATCTGGGCTCTTCCATTTATTAATGGTGTGACCTCAGGCAAGTTATTTAACCTTCCTGAGCCCGTTTCCTTGTCTATAAAAACGAGGTAATAAAAGTACATTGAAGCCTAGAAAACCATGCCTGACACATGGTAAGTACGTGATGAATGTTAGCTGTGATTATCACATCTTAATTACTCTGTGAGATCAGGACTGCCTAGTCTTTCAGAAGAGGAAACTGCTAAGAATTGAGTTAGCTCTGGCTGACCTTCCATCAAGACACGCTATGGGAACAGATAACAATATTGAACTATAATTATGTAATGCGATAAATACTGCTACAACGACAATCATACTACGGTACATGAATGTGTCAAAGTAACATGTTATAAATCTTAAAGTTATAGTTATATGTCATATTTTTAAAAGGACATGCTTTGGGAAGGGCCATGTTGCTAGGCATGTCTGTGCGTGTGCACACGTGTGTGTTGGGAGGAGGGGTGACTCCTTGGGGAGTTAGGAGCTGTGTGACCTCAGTCTGGGCCCAAGGCATTGGCCTGGTCCTGGTTCAGGAGCCATTGCCTGGGACAAAGCCAGTATAGGGATTCTGCCTCCAGCTGAGAGACCTGCATCTTGCTACCCACTGTCCGGAGGCTCTTAGCTGGGCCTGGCAGCTGGTGGGGTCTGGGGGACTGGGTGGGCCTAGCACATAGTTGGCACTCAGAAAAGTTTGCCAAGGAAGGACAAGTGACAGAGCAAGTGCCTTGAGCACAGAAGGATCTGGGGAGGTACAAGTTGGGCATGATGACCAGAGTCGGGTTCGCAACACAGAGCGGAGGGGACCCCGGGGGCCGGGAGAGAGCCAGGGCCACCTCCTGCCTCCAGGTGGGGTGACTGGGGAAGCACTGGGGCCTGTTCTGGCAGAGGCGGAGGTTAGGATGACTTGGGGGACTGACTTTCTGGGACCCTGAGCCCACTTTCCCACTGCGCCCCTTGGGCTCCTTGGGCTCCAGCACGGGGTCTGGGGAAACTCCCCACCGTGAGGACTTGGTGCAGCCCTCCTTGCCAAGTGCCTGCCGCTCCCTCTCTGCAGATGGTGCCAAGCACTTGGGGTTTTCCGTCACTCTGTGCCCAGGCAGGGCTGAGGGGGACTCTGCCTGGACTCTCCCTGAGCACATCCCCGGCCCCTGCCTCCTTCTCTGCCTGCCCTCTGAGCACAGGTGTTCATGTTTAAACAGGACTGACTTCCAGGATGACTCCTGGGGTGGGTGTGGCTGGGGAGCCTGCACACTCCCAGAGTCGGGGCTGGCAGGGGGAGCCCAGGCCAGGCTGGGGTGTAATCTCCCAGCACTCCTGGCCCTGGGCTTTGGGACTCCCCCCCCTGGAGGTACCAGCCCGGGGCTCCTCTCTGGGGGAACTGTCCCTGCAGCAGCTTCCCCTTGTGGCCTCTGGGATATTTCTCCCATTCCTTCCCACCTGCAGCTTCTTCCGATGAGGCAGGAGGGTGGGAACCTGCCCGGTCAGCCGCCCAGTGTGTTCATGAGATGTTTCACTTCCTGTTTCCCACGGGCCCTGGCTCCAGGGGCCACAGGTTGAGCAATCAGTCAGTCAACATATTTTAATTGAGCCCCTACTGTGTGCTCAGTGCTAAGAAAGGCAGGGCTGGGACACAGATACGGAGATACCAAATGGGGTCCTGAAACTGGTGAGAACCCAGAGAGCCGGGGTTTCTATAAACGTCCGTTGAACACCTACTCTGTGCCAGGCACTTTATCCCTTTCAGTCCCTGCCACCATCCCACAGTAGGAGGCCTCCCTTCTAGTTCCCAGACTAGGAAACTGAGGCACAGAAGGTGAGGTGACCTTCTCAGGCTCCCCAGCTGGCAAGTGGCCAAGTGGGACTTGAATGCAGGTCTGTCTGGTGCAGAGTCTGCCGTTAGCCGGGACACCTGCTGCTGGTGAAGGACCCCATCTAGGAGTGAGCTGGCTTTCCGGTTTGGTTCCCAGAAACCCCACGCTCAGCCTCACCCACTCCCCTGGCCTCTACCGCCCCCCACAGGAGCATTTCAATTACTACTCACTGGACGCTGCCCTGGGCCACCTTGTCTTCTCACTCAAATACGATGTCATCGGGGACCAGGAGCACCTGCGGCTGCTGCTCAGGTGAGGGTGGGGTGAGGGGCCCTGTGACAGCAGGGAGGGCTGAGGTCTTATAATCTGAGAATTCGTCTCATTTTACCCACTCTTCTAACGGAGGCCCAGAGAGGGCCAAGGACTGGCCTGAGGTTGCACAGCATGTTAGTGCCCGAGCCAGGACTGGGTCTTAGTGTGGAGGGGCTCCCACCTCCCTTCCCGCTGCCTAGCCTTGCATCGTGGGCTTTCTCCTCCCAGGACCAAGTGCCGGACATACCACGATGTCATCCCCATCTCCTGCCTCACCGAGTTCCCCAACGTGGTCCAGATGGCAAAGGTGAGGCCTCTGCTCCTTCATGCGGGGCCCCCTTTGCACACCCCTGGGGCGGGCGGGGCACACAGAGTGAGGGCTGCAGCTAGGCCTTAGCATGCTCTCATCTTCAGCTCCAGGTCCTAGCCCTGTGTGCTGTGGCCCCATCGCTGAGGTCCTGCCTCTCACATGTCCTCTGATGTCCATGTGCTGGGCCCAGTCCCCTGCCTGTGTGTTTTGGCACTGTTTTAGAGCACTTTCAGAAACGGGGGACCCCAGCTGTCCACACCCCATTCTGAGCAGCAGTGAGCCCACAGTACTGCTTCCACTTTGGTGGTTCCCTCTCCTTTCTGCACCGTGCCTCCCCCGCTCCCTCCGCACTAGGCCTGGGAGGCCCAGAGGGCCCCCCTCTCCTGTCCCCACCTCCAGGCACCCCCATATCTCCTCCTGCAGCTGGTGTGCGAAGATGTGAATGTGGATCGATTCTATCCTGTGCTCTACCCCAAGGTATGGCGGGCCCTGGGCCCTGCTCACTGAAGGTGGGTGGGTGAGCAGGGCACTGAGCACTTATGGGCACCTGCAGTGTGCAGGGTATTTTTCTTAAGTTTCTCTTCAATCCTCACAATAACCCTGCGAAGTCCACAGTTTATAGAAGAGGAACTGGAGCCCAGAAAGGTTCTGTGTCTTACCCAGAGGTGCACAGCAGATAATAAAGGTCTGCATTTAAACCTAGTGTTGGCAGCCGGGATTGTGGAGGGTGGGGGTGGGGGAGGGGCGTGCCTTACCTCTGGAAACTCTCAGTGTAATTTGGGGACCCTCGCAAGGGCAACTGGTGTTCCCAAGCCAGTGGACTTCACTGGCCTTGCCTTCCGACCCCAGAGGGACCTGGTGAGAGAGAATAACACAGGCACCTTCATCAGTGCTGCCTAGACAGCAGCTGCACTTCCGGGTGCAGTAACCATGTGGGAAAAGGGTAGGGACTTCTATCTTCAGCGAGCCAGGGGGCTTCCTGAAAGAGGTGGGCCTTGAAAGACATGTGGACCCTGTGGCTCTGACAGAATTCTAGAGCAAGATGCAGTGCCTGAGGGGTCATGTGGTCCGGGAAATGTCCCTGAAGGAAGGGGCCTCGGAAATTAGATTCCATCTCAGTTACAGAAGAGGAAACCGAGGCCCAAAGTGAGGAGGGAACGAGCTCGAGGTCCCACAGCAAGTTGGTGGGCCTTGGCCTGTTGTAGACCGATGAGGTGGGTTTACAGAGGAGCAAGGAGGGAACTGGGAGCTGGGTGTTGTAGCATGGAGTCGGGGTGAGGGTTTATAGACAAAACTCAGGAGCAATGAGCTTGAGCTCTGGAGTCCAACAGACCGAAGTTCAAGTCCCAGCTCTGCCTTGCAAGCTGTTGGCCTGAGACAAGCTCTGAGCCTTGGTTTCTCCATCTGTAAAATGGGAGCGGCAGGAATGTCTGCCTCATGCATTTGTTCTGAGGATTAAGTGAGACGATGCACGCGGCATGCGGCCACAGTGCTTGGCACATAGTAAGAGCAGTAAATGACAGCCTGGAAAAGCAGTCTGTTCACCCCTTGTCCTCTCCCCCCAGGCCTCCCGGCTCATTGTCACCTTTGATGAACACGTCATCAGCAACAACTTCAAGTTTGGAGTCATTTATCAGAAGCTTGGGCAGGTGTGCTCACCTCCTCCTCCTCCCTGCTCCCCCCCCCCCCCCCCTGGGACCTCAGACCTTTTCCGGGGAGAGCACCTCCCCAGGGACTCAGTTTCCCGGGGCTGCCAGAGGTCCTCCTTCCAGCCTTCTCTGGGGCGGCGGGGAGGGGCGGCCAGGTGCTGCAGCTCCATGACCTCTGCCCTCTGTGTCCCCAGACCTCCGAGGAGGAGCTCTTCAGTACCAACGAGGAAAGCCCTGCCTTCGTGGAGTTCCTCGAATTTCTTGGCCAGAAGGTCAAACTGCAGGACTTTAAGGGGTGAGCATTAGGGAGGGATGAGCAGACTGTAATCTTGGGCAGGGAGGGAGCCCCCGTCCTGGCCCCAAGGAGGCCTGGCGGGGCTGGAGACTGAGCCGTGGCCTGGGGGGCCGGGGGCAGGTTCCGCGGAGGCCTGGACGTGACCCACGGGCAGACGGGGACCGAGTCTGTGTACTGCAACTTCCGCAACAAGGAGATCATGTTTCACGTGTCCACCAAGCTGCCCTACACAGAAGGGGACGCCCAGCAGGTAGCCTGGGCACCCACCCACCTGCTTCCCACCTGTCCTCCTGTCCCCCACTACCTGTCCGGTCCGTGTCCACCACATCCGGCTCGGTGGGCCCTGGGATGTAGAAGATGGAAGTGATCCAGTCCCCCCTCCTTCTGGGCTCTAGTTGGGGCAGGTGTCAGGGAGACAAGCTGTGAAAGCCTCAGTTTCCACATCTGTGAAATAGGATCATAAAGGCACCTACCTCATAGGTGAGCGTAAAGGAAGGATACACATACAGTGGCTAGAAGAGTATCTGGTAGAGCAAAAGCTCAACCAATATGAGTATTTTTACTGGGAGTGAAGGGCATTGTGGGGTCATGTGGGGGTACTTAGACTTGGCAGAGGTGAGAGTCAGGGAAAGCTTTCAAGATAAAGTGCCTTTTAGGCTGTGAAGCAGCTGGGAGAAGTGAGGGGGAGGTGGTGTTCCAGGTGGAGAGAACGGCTTCTGTAAAGGTCTGGTTATGAGGAAGGGTAGGGCGTGTTCCGGGAGCTGAACTTAGAAATTTGTCACTTTGCCCTCAGCTGCCTGCAGGACTCTCTACCTTAGCCCACTCCACCCCCACCCCAGGGGGAGAAAACGGAAATGTGAGAAAAAAAGAAAATATTTATGTCTTACTTTTACTGTCATTTTATTTTCTTTTAAGAAGATTTTCTGTTCATTTTAGCCACATGAATTTATACCGGGTGGAACTTGTTTGTTCAAGAGGGGCCATGTTAGGGGTATTTAGAAGAAGGGCTGAGAGGTAGGGCCTAGGGACCAGGAGCCCTGGGTTCAAGTCCCCTAACTCACTGTAGGGCCTTGCAAATCATGTCTCTCTTGGCCTCAGTTGCCTCATCTGTCACAGGATTCCAAGAAAACGAAAATAATTTGAAGACAAGTTCCTCACCACATTTGTGGAGGGAGAAGCGAATCCTTAGATGTGTCCCCTGCCTACCCCAGAGCTCTCCCACCCCCCTGCG